TTTTAAGTAACTTGCAGACAGTCACAGAGCTTGCAGGTTATAGAGCCAGGACACACCCAGATCTGCCTGACTACAAGACCAAAATTTTTCACATCAACATGCTACCCTGTACTCTACTACTCTGTCTTTCTTCCACTTCCTTCCTTCTACCTCTTTCCACCTCAAAGCACACATTAGTGGATGGTTGTAGTGTTGGAAGGATATTAAAGAAAGGACTAATCTGGCACTCTTTTATACTCCTCTTAAAGCTCTTGATTATTTTCTATTTTCTCACATATGGCCTGGGCACCAGGATCCAAGAAAACGCTGCTCCGTGTAGGCTCATGTTAGATCTTTTTTCTCTCCAATCTCCCCACGGTTTCAGCGACTACATTTTAAAGATTCCAAATAAGAGCATACAGCCTGAGACATTGTGTTTCCTTCAAGAGAACATTAGGAAAACATATTTGAAATCGAAACCAAAAAAAGTACTCCTGATGCCTAGAAGAGACAAAATTAGAATAGGGCTAGCTCTATATGGGCTTGTTGATTGATTAATTGAAGGTTGATCACACATACAGAGAGTAATGAGCAAAGTTAGAGTAAATCCTTATCAGTGGAATTCAACAGGGTGGTCTTTCTGACAGGTCTTTTTGTTGCAGACTTAATGTAGGCTTCCTGAACCTTGTGGTTTGTTAATCTGCAAGTACTTGTTTAGATATCAAGCGGTGGAATCTAAGATACAAGCTGTTAATTATGAGTTCTAATCCCAGGCTAGAAGATGCCTATAAAGATCAAAACCTGTTTCCTTTTTTCTAATAATTAGCAGCCTAGCTAAAGAGAGATCAATTGTAATTGGGGAACTGAAGAAGGTAATAAATCCATTACCGAGACTAGTTGTTTTACAGAGCCATTTGTTTAATCCTTAAAATTTGCAGGTTGTAAATTACTCATTAGAAGGCAGAAAGCAAAATAGCCATAATCCATTTAGTGCCTCCAAACTCCAAAGACTTAGGGGAGGAAATCCATAGAAACAAGACATCTGATGTGTTCTTTCACTGCGATTTCTTAATGGGCAAAGGTGGTTAAACAATAAGGAAAAGCCCATGTAATTATCCTGATGTGCTGGAACATAGGTCAGGGGTGGACTTGATTAAACCCATGGAGGGCTATCCCACAAATGGTGGGAAAATGCTCCTTCTTTTCCACTCAGCCCTGAAGGCAGCTAATCAATGTGCACATCTCATTTCCAGATTGTTTCATGAGATCAGAGAAATAGCCTATAGCATTCATTAGGGTATTCCCTCCTATCTGTTGTTTTCTAATCAGCACAGGGAACAAAACAAGAGGCCAAGTATCAGAGAGGAGTTAGGAGACAGCCAGGAGGAAGCTGTCCTCCTCTCCATACATAGGGAACGCTGCTCCCAACTACAAAATGTTTAACTGCAAAAACAACTAGACAGTTAGTTTATAGGTCTCTTTACATGCATAGAAAGCCACATATATTTGGTTTGCATATGGATTTTACAAGCTTTATATGAAAACTCTTAACCATTTACTAAGAACAATGTTTTTTTTTCTTTTTGCATACCACAGATACAATTCAATTTTAGACTCCTAGTGGTAATGATACAGGCAATATACAAGATGCCTATGATACTAGCACTGCGCATGAATTTTAGAGTAGAATTTGAATCCGTGCATATTTTCTTTTTTAAACAATGTGATGCCTGTTATATATACAAAACACAACTTCTGTTAATAGCTCACTGCTGGGCTATACACAACAAAATACCTATGGCTCACTTCTGCACTGAGTAAGCATTTCTTTCATACCTCTTTCCTTTTCTCCACATGATCAATAACACATCTCCAAAATAAGATGATAGGGTTAGGTTGTGAAATGAAGTTTTTCTCTTTGCAGGGATAACAAAATCACGTGAAGATCAAATCTCTGATTTTGTGGTAGCAAAGTGAGTTAGCAAATGCAAACTGTTTCCTATCATTTTCTACTTGACAATCTAATTAAGTTTGTGATTTCACCAGGTTAGCACTATGTCTATCTCTGTGTTCCATTCAATACCCACTAAGCTGTTGTTAATCAATAAATCATTACTGATAATGAAGGAAAATCCAATTTAAAAATTACAGCTGTTCTGGAAATGCATTTATTTACTTTGTTAAAGTAATTATAAAGCAAGTGTTTTTTAGATTGATCATTTAACCATGTCATGTAATAAAAGTACTTTCTGCCCACATCTAACTTAAAAAAAAGCTACATATATTTTACATTAGAAAGCTATACTAAGGAATCTTAAAGACCCTTGTCATTAAAAATACAATCAAAGCATGTTAGAAAAATGTTAAAAGTCTTAGCCAGAATAATCAGGCAAGAGAAAGAAATAAAAGGCATCCAAACAGGAAGAGAAGAAATTAAACTATCTCTCTTCCCAGATGAAATGATTCTATACCTAGAAAACCCATAGTCTCTGCCCAAAGGCTTCTAAATCTAATAAACAACTTCAGCAAAGTTTCAGGATACAAAATCAATGCTAAAAAACTTAATAGCATTTCTATACACCAACAACATCCAACTAAGAGCTAAATCAATAGCACAATCCCATTCACAACAGCCCTAAAAAATAAAATACCTAGGAATACAGCTAACCAGGAAGGTGAAAGATCTCTACAACAAAAATTACAAAACACTGATGAAAGAAACCAGAGATGACAAAAACAAATGGAAAAACTTTCCATGTTCTTGGATAGGAAGAATCAATATTTTTAACATGGCCATACTGCCCAAAGTAATGTACAGAATCAATACTGTTCATATCAAAATACCGACATTTTTCACAGAATTAGAATAAACTATTCTAAAATTCATGTGGAACCAAAAAAGCCCCAATAGCCAAAGCAATCCCAAGCAAAAACAACAAAGATGGAGGCATCACATTACCTGACTTTAAACTACACTACAAGCCTACAGTAACCAAAACAGCATGGTACTGGTACAAAAATAGACACATAGATGAATAGGACAGATGAGACAACCCAGAAACAAAGTCGCACACCCACAACCACCTGATTTTTGACAAAGTCAACAATAATAAACAATAGGGAAAGGACTACCTATTCAATAAACGGTGCTGGGATAACTGGCTAGCCATAAGCAGAAGATTGAAATTGGATCCTTTCCTTTCATCATATGCAAAAATCAACTGAAGATGGATTAAATACTTAAATGCAAAACCTAAAGCTATAAAAACCCTAAAAGAAAATCTAGAAAATACCATTCTGGACATGGGCCCTGGCAAAGATTTCATGATAAAGACTCCATAAGCAATTTCAACAAAAATAAAAATTGACACATGGAACTTCATTTAAGTGAAGAGCTTCTGCACAGCAAAAGAAACTATCAATCGTGTAAACAGACAACCTACAGAAATGGAGAAAATATTTGCAAACTATGCATCTGATGAAGGTCTAATATCCAGCTTCTATAAGGAACTTAATAAGCAAAAATCAAACAACCCCGTTAAAAAATGGACAAAGGACATGAACAGACACTTCTCAAAAGAAGATATACATATGCCCAACAAGCATATGAAAAAATGCTCCACATCACTAATCATTAGAGTAATTCAAATCAAAATCACAATGAATACCATCTTACACCAGTCAGAATGGTTATTATTAAAAAGTCAAGAAGGGGCTAGGCACAGTGGCTCATGCCTGTAATCCCAGCACTTTGGGAGGCCGAGGCAAGTGGATCACTTGAGGCCAGGAGTTTGAGGCCAGCCTGGCCAACATAGTGAAGCTTGTCTTTACCAAAAATATAAAAAATTAACCAGGCATGGTGGTGCATGCCTGTAATCCCATCTACTTGGGAGGCTGAGACACTAATAACTTGAACCTAGCAGGCGGAGGTTGCAGTGAGCCAAGATCATGATCAGGCCATTGCACTCCAGCCTAGGCAACACAGCAGACTCTGTCTCAAAAAAAAAAAAAAAAAAAAAAAAAAGTCAAAACATAACAGATGCTGGCGAGTTTCAGGAGAAAAAGGAATGCTTATACACTGCTGGAGGGAATGTAAATTAGTTCAGCCACTATAAAAAGCAGTTTGGAGACTTCTCAAAGAATTTAAAACTATCATTCAACTCAGCAATCCCATTACTGGGTATATACCCAAAGGAATATAAATCATTCAACTCAGCAATCCCATTACCGGGTATATAATCAAAGGAGTATAAATTGTCCTACAATAAAGACATACACACATGTATGTTCATTGCAGCACTATTCACAGTAGCAAAGACATGGAGTTAATTTAGATGTCCATCAACAGTGGATTGGATAATGGAAATGTGGAACATATATACCATAGAATACTATGTAGTCATAAAAAAGAATGAAATCATGTCCTTTACAGCAACATGGATGCAGCTGGAGGCCATTATTCTAAGCAAATTAATGTAGAAACAGAAAACCAAATGTTACATGTTCAGTCATAAGTGGGAGCTAAACATTGAGTACACACAGACTCAAAGAAGCGAAAAATTGACACTGGGGCCTACTTGAGAGTGGAGGGTGGGAGGAGTCTGAGGATCTAAAAACTCTACTCCATTCATTACCTGGGAGATGAAATAATCTGTACACCAACCCTAACAGCATGGAATTTACCCTTGTAATAAACCTGCATATGTACCCCCTGCAAACCTAAAATAAAAGTTGGAAGGAAAAAAGAATTAAGTGAGAAAAAGAGAAAAAAAAAGGGTAGTTGCTCTTTCTCAAAAAAAAAAAAAAAAAGAAGAAGAGAGAAAGAGAAAAGGAAAACTGTTGAGACATTGTAAGATAAACTTTAAAAAGCTTACAGTAAATTTGAAAATTATAACTTGGTGCTTCTATGTTACTGGTCTCAGAAAAGAGCCCATTCTGGTCACTTTTGGTGGAAGCTAGAAATGATATTTGGCCTTTCCCCTTTGCTGGGAATAAAGTACCTGACTTCTCTTCTGACTTACCCTGAGTGGATTTTCATTAAGGTAAGGGGGTTCACCTTCCACCATTTCAATTGCCATAATTCCCAGAGACCAGATATCAACTTTCGGACCATAAGCTTTTCGAGTCACCACCTCAGGTGCCATCCAATATGGGGTTCCCACCATAGTGCTTCGTTTACTTTGCTCAGGAGTGATCTGGGCACAGAACCCAAAGTCAGCTGCAGAGAAGAAAAGCCAGTTAAAATAAGCCCAAATTATTTTCCTTTTCACAATATATCACTTTCAGATATGGCTGTATCTTCCTTTGTTACACACTGAGTTTCCACAACTGCCTAGCTCATACCTTTTTGTTAACTGATGTCTCAGCTGGTCCTGATTTTAAGAAGGTCTGAAATAATTGACTAATGTGATGTCATTTTTACTAGACTTCAATCTAATTCCTCCTCATCACTGTTTTCTCAAACTTACAGAATTTTTCAGTTTCCTAATTAGGTAGTTGTCATTTATTCATTCCACAAGTCACTAGAAATTCTGAAATATTAAATCCAAAAAATGTGGTCACAATAATCAGGAACAGTGTTAGAAAAATTCTTTACTTCAAATTGGGCTGTAACTTCTTTCAAATAAATCACTTTCAGTAACCATTATCTTCTTAAGACATACAATAAAAGAACAGAAATTCCCTGATACTCTAACACCACCTGAACCAAAATACCTACTCAATTTAACAGAGCCATCCATCCCGAGAAGAATATTGTCACTCTTTATATCTCTATGGATCACCTGGTTTGAGTGCAAGAAATCCAAAGCTTGCAGGCACTATTAAATCAGAAAAAAAAGTTCTAATTATATCACAAATAATTTTTTAATACTAAGTTTTATTTCTAGATAAGTTTTGGGCAGGGATATAACTTTATTTTGTCAAGTGAAATCGATTACTGAATGCTTCAATAACACCACTTTAAAGTCACATTACCATTTACATCAATGATGCCACTTAGCATTATACATGCTAAGTATGATGGCTGACACATCAGACTAGGACATGAAGAATGATAATGTGATAAATAGCACCAATCCTTAATACAGGCAAACTAACCAATTAATATACTTTGGCCCAGTTATTTGGAGGATTCAGCTTGGTCTTCTACAGCTGTGGTAAGCTTCATTGTACATGGTATGATTTGATTCAGAAGTTCTGGAGTGAAACCCAGGAATCTACATTTAAAACAAGTGCCCCAAACTATTTCTAATGGGTATCCAGGTTTGGGAACCACTCCGAGGCTGTGAAGTAATAGGCACTTGTTTGGAAATGCCTTTGCAGTGTAATGCTGGAAGAAGGAAACCACAGGCTCAGGGTAGTAAGTTCGATTTATGGCATGAATAGAAAACATATATGTTTGGTGGATATGTGGGGTGGGGAAATGATAATGAGAGGAGAGCAAGGAAGGAAGAAATTTAAGTGAACAACTTACAAAAACAAAACAAAACAAACAAACAAAAAAAACAAAGATTAGCTGATATCACTTAGTTTTGTTTTTCTATCATTGGTTTTCAAGTTTCAGTGAGTCAGAGTTCCTACTTTTGTTGATAGAAAACCTCACCAAAATAAATGGGATAGCTTATAATGCCTAAGATGAGACTCCAGTAAAAAGTGTGTGTGTGTTTTAATAGTCAACATAATAAATGTAACAATATATCTTTAATTTAGTTTGAAACCCCTTAGGGGTATGACGCTTACTGGAAAAGAGACAGACTGTCAGGTCCACTGTGGGGCTGTAAGGGAAGTTCAGATTGTACTGTGAAAGCAACTGCTTTCTGGGCTGAGGGAAGACCTCGTTTAAATTGCCTTATAAAAATGATGAAAATATAACTTATTTTACATGGCTCATATTACACATGCAGGATAAAACAAGTATCATGTAAAAACTTCCCCAAATTAGAAAGAAGTGTTATGCCAATTATCACTGTTTCCCATGTTCACCGAAACTACAGCATGTGGGTTTAGATATGGCACCTCACGAATGACATAATGGAACTAAAAGATTCACAAAAGGCAGCTAAAATAAACAAGGGGCTCAGGAGGGTGATGCTGGGGAGTGCTATTGGGACAGAATTTAAATTGAAGTTGGCCTCTCCAATTGTTTTCAGTGGAAAAGTTCTACTATTGTTACTTTAATGACATAAACATTCTGAATAATCAGAAACGAAGAACTGCCAATTTTGGTGTTCTTCTCAGCTGGAAATGCTCTATTTGCTTACCTCTCTGCAGACAGCTGCTATCTGTCCTTCATCCATGCAGGTCTCTGTGACCACATCAGTCAGAGAGCCACCAGCCAAGTATTCCATGACTACCCATAGTTCATCACCCACCAAGTAGCTATAACAAGAAAAGAAAAGACTTTGCCTTATGACGCTAAAAAATTGGAGACTCTGATATTCCCAGGCCTCAGTTCTGATAGAAATCAACTCTGAGTTGTGCCATGCCCGTTACCTTTCAGAAGGTATTGAGGGGCATACCTCAAGTGATTAAATATGGAGCCAAGGGTCACCAGAGCCTTATAATTCAGGCAAAGAGAGCATGAGGTTATTCAAATCACCTGACACCATCTGAAGGCACTTCAGCAGTATAATCAGGTCTCTCTGAAACCTTGCTTATCAAGAAAGATGAATTATAGGAAATGGAGTGACCCCAATGTTCCCACTCTGCCCTAAGACCCATATCAATGTGAAGCAAGATTTTCTATTCAGTATTGTTCAAACTGTGGTGTCCATAAAATTCACCTGGAAAACCTGTTAAAAATAAAACTTCACAGTCCAGTCCTCATCTTATTATTTATGGAAAGCAGCCTAGAATTCTGCATTTTTTATAAGTGTAGATGCATTTTTTTATTTTTTTATTTTTTATTTTTTGCAAAATTACAAACACAGAATGACTTTAGGTTACTCTGTTGCAGGTGGTTCCTAAGTTACACTTTAGAAGACACTGATCAAGACTGTAAAATTTGTGGCCAGGTGGAGTGGCTCACGCCTGTAATCCCAGCACTCTGGGAGACCAAGGTAGGTCGGTCACCTGAGGCCAGGAGTTTGAGACCAGCCTGGCCAACATGGCAAAACCCCATCTCTACTAAAATACAAAAAATTAGCCGGGTGTGGTGGCGCACATCTGTAATCCCAGTTACTTGGGAGGCTGAGGCAGGAGAATTGCTTGAACCTAGGAGGCAGAGGTTGCAGTGAGCTGAGATCATGCCACTGCACTCCAGCCGGGGCAACAGATCAAGACTCTGTTTAAAAAAAAAAAAAAAGACTGTAAAATTTGACCCTCTTTTCTCCCAGGTTTTCCTTCTTCTGTAACATTGGTCTACCTGGCCCAAAAAACAGAAAACAGCATTTTAAGCTTATTGAGGTATTGAGGTTGAAGACCTAGATTTAGTTTCTTTGTATCACCTTCAGAGAACACAGCACAGTGGTACTAAACAAACTCTTTTTGAAATTGAATGAGACAGATGTTAACCAGAAGTGAAGAGTTAGTGCTGCCTTTAAATACCTATTTACAACACACTGTTAATACCACTGATGAAAGAGACATTAATTACCTGGTTTAGGAAAAAGGTTTGAGATTAAAGTCTGAATTCCCTAGACCTCACTGTCAGTTAATCACAAAGCACCCATTAAAGCCATTATAGCGGGCCATGGTAGTCAGCCTTCTTCACTTAGACTCCCAGAAATTGTACTGGCTCCAAACAAACACTTGATGTAATGTTTAAAACACCACTACTCCTTCCTATATGCAATGGTCTATTTTCTGCCAAAATAGAGCTGTGATTCTCAAAATGAAATTATACAAACTTCTTGTATTTACAACCAAGACCATAAAATGTTTCTTCAAGTGTCTGATACATGGACAAAGCTAAATGAGTGCAAGTTTAGCAATAGATCTAATACTCTACTACATTGTAGCATTTGAGAAATATTTGCAGAATGACTGTTAAATAAACGAATCCCAAATAAAGTAATTTGCCAAGAAAAAATGACATCCCACAAAGAATGCAAGTACATAACGAGACAAAACACTTACCTATCTAAATAATTAACAATATTAGGGTTCTTATTTTCCCTCATGACCAGAATTTCATTAATAATTAATTCCTTCTTGGGTTGCTGTTGAAGGTTCATCTGCTTTATGGCCACCTGAATGGCAATTAAAATACAAGAATGAATTACAATCATTATAATAAACATGAATATTCATATTTTGGGGGACACAGAGTGAAACATACACATACTTTATTTACTAAGCTCTTTCCCTGTGCCACAAACTCATGCCCCCCACTTTTATTTTTGGTTAATCATGGGTAAACCACTCACTTCAGAGGCTTTGGGCACCAATGAAGGAAACACCTATCTATAAATGCCCACAAGAGAAAGCAGGAAAGATCTAAAATTGACACTCTAACATCGCAATTAAAAGAACTAGAGAAGCAAGAGCAAACACATTCGAAAGCTAGCAGAAGGCAAGAAATAACTAAGATCAGAGCAGAACTGAAGGAGATAGAGACACAAAAAACCCTCCAAAAAAATCAATGAATCCAGGAGTTGGTTTTTTAAAAAGATCAACAAAATTGACAGACCACTAGCAAGACTAATAAAGAAGAAAAGAGAGAAGAATCAAATCGATGCGATTAAAAATGATAAAGGGGATATCACCACCGACCCCACAGAAATACAAACTACCATCAGAGAATACTATAAACACCTCTACGCAAATAAACTGGAAAATCTAGAAGAAATGGATAATTTCCTGGACACTTCACTCTTCCAAGAGATTAAACCAGGAAGGATTTGAATCCCTGAATAGACCAATAACAGGCTCTGAAATTGAGGCAATAATTAATAGCCTACCAACCCAAAAGTCCAGGACCAGATGGATTCACAGCTGGAATTCTACCAGAGGTACAAAGGAAGAATTAAGATACCATTCATGCAAACGATTCCAATCAATAGAAAAGAAGGAATCCTCCTAACCTGTTTTATGGGGCCAACATCATCCTGTTACCAAGCCTGGCAGAGACACAACAAAAAAGAAATTTATGAGCCAATATCCTGATGAACATCGATGCAAAAATCCTCAATAAAATACTGGCAAACCGGATTCAGCAACACATCAAAAACATCCACCATGATCAAGTGGGCTTTCATCCCACCAGCTTATCCACCATGATCAAGTGGGCTTCATCCCTGGGATGCAAGGCTGGTTCAACATTTGCAAATCAATAAACATAATCCAGCATATAAACAGAACCAAAGACAAGAACCACATCATTATCTCAATAGATGCAGAAAAGGCTTTTGACAAAATTCAACAGCCCTTCATGCTAAAAATGCTCAATAAATTCGGTATTGATGGAATGTACCTCAAAATAATAAGAGCTATTTATGACAAACCCACAGCCAATATCATACTGAATGGGCAAAAACTGGAAAAATTCCCTTTGAAAACTGGCACAAGACAGGGATGCCCTCTCTCACCACTCCTATTCAACATAGTGTTGGAAGTTCTGGCTAGGGCAATCAGGCGAGAGAAAGAAATCAAGGGTATTCAGTTAGGAAAAGAAGAAGTCAAATTGTCCCTGTTTGCAGATGACATGATTGTATATTTAGAAAACCCCATTGTCTCAGCCCAAAATCTCCTTAAGCTGATAAGCAACTTCAGCAAAGTCTCAGGATACAAAATTAATGTGCAAAAATCACAAGCATTCTTATACACCAGTAACAGACAAACAGAGAGCCAAATCAGGAATGAACTTCCATTCACAATTGCTTCAAAGAGAATAAAATACCTAGGAATCCAACTTCCAAGGGATGTAAAGGACCTCTTCAAGGAGAACTACAAACCACTGCTCAGTGAAATCAAAGAGGACACAAACAAATGGAAGAACATACCATGCTCATGGATAGGAAGAATCAATATCGTGAAAATGGCCATACTGCCCAAGGTAATTTATAGATTCAATGCCATTCCCATCAAGCTACCAATGAGCTTCTTCACAGAATTGGAAAAAACTGCTTTAAAGTTCATATGGAACCAAAAAAGAGCCCGCATCTCCAAGACAATCCTAAGTCAAAAGAACAAAGCTGGAGGCATCACGCTACCTGACTTCAAACTATACTACAAGGCTACAGTAACCAAAACAGCATGGTACTGGTACCAAAACAGAGATATAGACCAATGGAACAGAACAGAGTCCTCAGAAATAATACCACACATCTACAGCCATCTGATCTTTGACAAACCTGAGAGAAACAAGAAATGGGGAAAGGATTCCCTATTTAATAAATGGTGCTGGGAAAACTGGCTAGCCATAAGTAGAAAGCTGAAACTGGATCCTTTCCTTACTCCTTATACGAAAATTAATTCAAGATGGATTAGAGACTTAAATGTTAGACCTAATACCATAAAAATCCTAGAGGAAAACCTAGGTAGTACCATTCAGGACATAGGCATGGGCAAAGACTTCATGTCTAAAACACCAAAAGCAATGGCAGCAAAAGCCAAAATTGACAAATGGGATCTCATTAAACTAAAGAGCTTCTGCACAGCAAAAGAAACTACCATGAGAGTGAACAGGCAACCTACAGAATGGGAGAAAATTTTTGCAATCTACTCATCTGACAAAGGGCTAATATCCAGAACCTACAAAGAACTCAAACAAATTTACAAGAAAAAAACAAACAACCCCATCCAAAAGTGGGCAAAGGATATGAACAGACATTTCTCAAAAGAAGACATTCATACAGCCAACAGACACATGAAAAAATGCTCATCATCACTGGCCATCAGAGAAATGCAAATCAAAACCACAATGAGATACCATCTCACACCAGTTAGAATGGCGATCATTCAAAAGTCAGGAAACAACAGGTGCTGGAGAGGATGTGGAGAAATAGGAACACTTTTACACTGTTGGTGGGATTGTAAACTAGTTCAACCATTATGGAAAACAGTATGGTGATTCCTCAAGGATCTAGAACTAGATGTACCATATGACCCAGCCATCCCATTACTGGGTATATACCCAAAGGATTATAAATTATGCTGCTATAAAGACACATGCACATGTATGTTTATTGCAGCACTATTCACAATAGCAAAGACTTGGAATCAACCCAAATGTCCATCAGTGACAGATTGGATTAAGAAAATGTGGCACATATACACCATGGAATACTATGCAGCCATAAAAAAGGATGAATTTGTGTCCTTTGTAGGGACATGGATGCAGCTGGAAACCATCATTCTTAGCAAACTATCACAAGAACAGAAAACCAAACACCGCATGTTCTCACTCATAGGTGGGAACTGAACAATGAGATCACTTGGACTCGGGAAGGGGGACATCACACACCGGGGCCTATCATGGGGAGGGGGGAGGGGGGAGGGATTGCATTGGGAGTTATACCTGATGTAAATGACGAGTTGATGGGTGCAGCACACCAACATGGCACAAGTATACATATGTAACAAACCTGCACGTTGTGCACATGTACCCTACAACTTAAAGTATAATAATAATAAATAAATTAAAAAAAAAAAAAAAAAGGAAACACCTATCTCAACCCAGTGCTACCCATTTTTTTTTTAGGCAAAGTTGCTATCAAAGAAGATAAGTGATAAATATGAATAAAAGAAAATAAAAATCAGCATTGAACGTTAGCACTTACCTCTTGTCCTGTTGCAATGTCTAGTGCTGTATAAACAGTACCTGATGCCCTGTGAAGGTGAAAATTATCAAAAGAATAAGCAATCAAGCTGTTACCAATATATTTTACTTGAAATAAAATGTAATTATTTTGAGGGGAGGAAAATTAGCAAACTCAAAATTAAAGTATGAAGAAAAGGAACAACCTTTTAAAAAATATTATTGTGATTAAAAAAACACTTCACAGGAGATCTACCCTCTTAACAAATTTTGAAGTGCACAATATTGGAACAATATTTTTATACAGCAAACACACCTGAAACAATCACAATGTATCCCTTGTGGTGGAGTGTAGGAACTCCAGTCAGACTTTCTGGCACCAGTCTGAGTGTCATGCACTATGCAGTAATAAATTGAGCAAAATGGCCTTGCTTCTTTTAGGAAACTCCTGGAATCCCCTAAATATTTCTTGAATCTTGTAATAACCAATATTGTAGGCCTCTGATTAAACTGAAGAATAGTTTAGGAAAGAAAATACCATCTTTCGCTTAGGCAAGTATAAATTAACCTTCACTTTTACTATAGAAACAGAGTGGCTCTTTTAATATATTTCCAATTTTTAAGACTATCTTCATCTAAAGAATCAATCTCTCTCAGTGCTGTACTGTACTATGGCTACATGAAGCAATAGCAACATGACTTTACTATTGAGCCATTGTTTTCTTATTTTTACTAAATTTCTCAACAACTTCTATGAAGTGTCACTCCAGCCCAATATTCTTTTAAAATCTATCATTTCTGGGCCTGGTGCAGTGGCTTACACCTGTAACCCCAAAACTTTGGGAGGCTGAGGCAGCAGGATTGCTTGAGCCCAGCAGTTTGCGACCAGCCTGGGCACCATGTTGAGATCCAGTTTCTATGAAAAAATTTAAAAATTAGCCAGGTGTGGTGGCACATGCCTGTAGTCCCTGCTTTTCAGGAGGCTGAGATGGGAGGATCACTTGAGCCCAGGAGTTCGAGGTTGCAGTGAACTGTGATTGTGCCACTGCACTCCAGCCTGGGTGTCTTAAAAAAATTAATAAGGAGCCAGTTCATGTCTCAAAAAATTAATAATGTATCATTCTTTATATCTTAGCAGTACTCTTGGTTCCATTCCAACTTTGATTATGGTGTTCCCTTGTTTTGCAAATAGAAATTGTATAGTAAGCTGCATTCACAGTAACTTTCTATGAATCACAAATGCATTCTAAACCACCTCCCACCACCATCCTCAAGAAAAAGAAATAAAAAGTCAATTTTGCTTTTAGTGAATAAAGGAGTTAGAATAGAGATCAGTCCTGTGATTGACTACGCATTGTAATGCTCCAACATTGCTCTGTAAACTTTCTGTAATTATTTCTCTCTTATTCTCTATTTCATCCTTGCTGTTTCGTTTTCTGAGTCCAGGAATTATTTTCTTATGTCAGGCACTTCCTTGTCATTCTTTTCCCTTCTCCTTGGATTAGCCCAAATATTTCTCACAGGTCCAGGAAGTGGACCTGGCTCTCAGGGAGTAAACTTGGTATGTAGTATAAGGCATATCTGACTATTAGTAGAGATCTGAGTTCTAATATTTGTCCTAACATCATCAAGCTATGTGACTTTGGGCTAGTCACTTCCTTTCACTGAGTTTCCGTCCCATCACATGGAAAACAGGTATCACAATAACAGTAAACATGTACTGAGTATGTTGTATATGTCAGACACTACACTAAGAACTTTAGATAATTTATCTTATATAATCCTTACCATATTTTTATAAGGCAGATGCTATTATTCCCATGTTACATATGATGAACTGAGGCTCAAAGAGGTTACCTGCCCAAGGTTACACAGTTAACAATCCATGTCTGTCTGACTCTCTCACTTTTAAAGTACAGGAAATGAGCTATTTTTTCCTAAGGGTCTTTAATTCTATGATTTATAATCTACAACTCTACCACCCTCCTCAATCTGCTTGGGTTTCTAAACATCGATTGGAACTAGGCTGAAAAATCACACTTAATCAATAGGTGCCACCTAAACCAGGATTTGGTAATTCTAGAAATTTCTTAGGCTTGAGGCTTGTATCAAACAAATCATTTCCTCACTTTTGTAAGTGTGAGATTCTAGGCTCAGAGGTCACAGTTAGTGCCTAATAAATATTTGCTGAATAAACAAATCAATAAAAACCTTGTAAAGCAAACATGCAATGCCAATACGACCTTTCCTTTCTGAGAAGAAAACATTTCTTCTACTTAAATCTAAATAAAGCACTTTGCTCCTGGAATAAGCAAACAGACATTCCTGACTTCAGAGCCCGGTGTGTGATTTGTCCTTCTGAACTTATTTGAGTTCAAAGGAATAGATCACCTCGACTTGGTGTATATTTCAGCTGCAATAAGTCCTGAGAAACTAGTTAAATCTAATTGCAAAATATGATTTAAAAATGCCTTTTGACATACAGCTAGCAAACATATGAAAAAATGCTCCACATCAATAATCATCACAGAAATGCAAATCAAAACCACAAAGAGACACCATCTCTCACCAGTCAGAATGGCAATTATTAAAGAGTCAATAAACAACAGACGTTGGCAAGGCTGCCAAGAAAAGAGAACACTTATACACTGCTGGAGGGAATGTAAATTAGGTCATCCGCTGTGGAAAGCAGTTTGGAGAGTTCTCAAAGAACTTAAAATGGAACTACCATTTGACCCAACAATCTTATTACTGGGTATATAACCAAAAGAAAATCACTTTATCAAAAAGATTCATGCACTTGCATGTTCATTGCAGCACTATTCGCGATAGCAAAGACATGGAATAAACCTATGGGCCCATCCATGGTGGATTGGATAAAGAAAAATGTGGTACATGTACACCATGGAATATTATGCAACCATAAAAAGACTAAGATCATGTCCTTTGTAGTAACACAGATGGAGCTGGAGGCCATTATTCTAAGTGAACTAATGCAGGAATAGAAAACCAAATACATGTTCTCACTTCTAAGCTGGAGCTAAACATTGGGTACTCATGAACATAAAGCTGGCAACAATAGACACTGGGGACTACTAGAGTGAGGAGGGAGGGAGGAGGGTAAGAGTTGAAAAACTAACTGTTGGGTACTATGCTCACTTCTGGGTGATGAGATAATTTGTACCTCAAACCTCAGCATTATGCAATATACCCAGGTAACATACCTATACATGTACTCCCTAAATCTAAAATAAAATTTAAAAATAAATAAATAAAAGTGACTGGTTTATTCACATGTATTTAGGCCACATGCACAATTACTTTAGATGCAAAAGAGTGAGAGCATCTGCAAAATGGGATAATAGTTCCTATTTCACAGGGCTGTAGAGAATTGCATGGCACAATCTATGTAAGCATTTAGCCCTGTGCCAGATCAGAGTTGATGCCTATATGGTAACTGCTATTATCATCATTTGTTGTTGCCACTGTTGCTATTGGTTTCACAGTAGGGGATGACTGATACACTGAACTATTAGTTGGCCCATCCCAACCTCCCAGCCAAAGCATTCTTGCTAACATCTGCCCCTATTTCCAAAAAGGACGGAGGCTGAGGTAAACTATTGGAACACGTTTTACAGGTTCCACATCCTTTCTTTCCCCCTAGGGAAGTGGTTTTACCCTTTTCTCTGGAAGTTGGAACGCCTTTATCAAATGAAACTGTATGAAAAAACTCTCAATATATTAAACAAATAAATTGGGAGTTGCCCCAGTTAAAGCTAGGGAGGGAGGCCCAAAATGCGTGCCCAGGTGGCCTTTCTGTTATTCAACACTCCTGTCTCCCTAACCCCCAAGCCCATTTCCACTGTCTTAAGGGCTAAAATTGTGATTGACTTGGAGTGCAAGTGGGGATTCATGTTTAACATTTTGAAAGCTTTACCTTTCAGATTCTTGGGTATATTTTTTGTTGTTGTTGTTGTTGTTGTCCTCCTCCAGCACCCTCAGCATTTCATTGTATTAAAATTGCTAGAATTCTAACCCTGGAATCTCAATATCCTGGGATTTATGGCATCCAGGGGTATAAAATTGCTATAAATTACTAATCCACAGAGGTTAAAGATCCTAAAACTCTAGAGCACCAGCTGCTAACTAAAAATGAGTCTTTCTCCTCACCTCCCCTCCCCACTTACTGCACATGTGCAATTATGTAATGTGTGTGTGTGTGTGTATATATATATATATGCATTTCCCTGCCCTGTACCCTGGTTCTCTTGTCATAAAATGGTAATATACTCTCCTACCACACTTACCAACCCCCTAAACCAAATATGTTGTTAGGTGGTTGGAACTCCCTGCTCTGACAAATAAGTTACTGGTTTGTGCAACTTCTAGCCTTTGCACAGCCTTCAACTCGAAGGCACAAATTCGGGTACTAACCTGCAAATTAAAATTTAGCACCTTTTCCCCAGCTCTGTCTTAGCACCCCCAACATATTTCCGCACCCCAGTTCTGATAGTTTTCCGTATTCTAACAATTTAAAATTCTACAGGTATAAATATGAATCTCTCCTTCAAGAGATCTCAACTTCCTTCAAGATTCATCTGTTAAAGCTCTCTTATTGCTCACTGCTGGGTTGAGAACAGTAGTCCTCACTCCCATTCATTCAAACCTCCCCTGGTTCAAGTCCTACTAGTTCCTAGTTCTCAGACTCTGGGTAAGTAATTTAGTCTCTTTGTCATTTAGGATTAAAGGAGGACCAAATGTATATAGTTCTGGCATACAGTGATTTCCCAATAAATATTAGCAATAATGATAATTATTATTTAGTTGATTATTTCCTAACATATTCATTAAGTTCTCAAATGCTAGTGTGTGAATCATAAGAAAGCTCTGTAAGTATCTGGGAGTTTTTAAGATATTTGATGTTTCAAAATTCATAACAAAAAAATGACAATTACCTGAGAACAGCTAATTCAAATATCACATATACTTCCTTTTAGCTAGAATTATATCAACTTGTAATTACATTGGATATCACATGATGATTAAAAGCTTTCATTAGCAGTTACATGCA